CCGTTGTTTGCGGATTCGAAGCGGTGTCCCAGTGCTAAGAAGTAGGATTTGTTGCGTTTGTTTGTTATTTCGTTATGGTTACCCCAACGCTAGGAAGTACGGTTTGTTGTCGTTGCTTATGGTTTCGGCGTGCTGCCCCAATGCTAAGAAGTATAGTTTGTTGCTGGGGGTTGTGGGTTCGGAATGGTGCACCTGTGCTAAGATTTTTTTGGCACTATTTGCGGTTTCGAAGTGGTGGCCCAGTGCTAAGACGTACGATTTGGTATCCGCTATTCGGGGATTCGAAGTGGGGCCCTAGTGGTAGGAAATACGATTAGTTGCCATTGTTTGTGGTCTCGGAGTGGTGCCGCAGCGCTGAAAAGTACGATTCGTTGTCCTTATTTGTGGTTTCGAAGTGGTGGTCCAGTGCTAAGAAGTTCGATTTCTTGCCGTTATTTGTGAATTCGAAGTGGCGTCCGAGTGCTAAGAGGTACGATTTGCTGCGATTGTTTGTGGCTTTGAAGTGGAGCACCGGTGTTAAGAAGTACGATTTGGTGCCGTTGTTTGCGGTTTCAGAATGGAGTCCTAGTACTAAGAAGTGCGACTTATTGCCGTTATTTGCGGTTTCAAATTGGTGCCCCAGTGCTAAGAAGTACGATTTGTTTCCGCTGCTTGGGGATTCGAAGTGGTGCCCTAGTGCTAAGAAGTGCGATTCGGTGTCGTTGTTTGTGGTTTCAAGTTGGTGCCCCAATATTGAGAAGTACGACTTGGTGCCGTTATTTGTGGTTTCGGAATAGTGCATCAGTGCAAAGAAGTACGTTTTGATGCTTTTATATTGGCTTTAGAAGCTGAAGTGGTGTCCCACCCCAGTGCTGAGAAGTACGCTTTGTTGCCGTTGGTTATGGTTTCGAAGTGGTGCCGCGTGCTAAGAAGTATATACGATTTGTTGTCGTTGCTTTCGGAGTGGTGCCCCAGCGCTGAGAAGTACGAATTGTTGCCACTATTTGTGGTTTGGAAGTGGTATCCCAGTGCTAAGAAATACGACTTGTTGCCGTTATTTGTGATTTGTTACTGGTGCACCAGTGCTAAGAAGTACGTTTCGTTGCCGTTGGTTATTATTTCGAAGTGGTGCCCCAGTGCTAAGAAGTACGACTTCTTTCCGTTCATCGTATCTTCGGAGTGGTGCCCCAGTGCTCAGAAGTACGATTTATTGCCGTTATTTACGGTTCTGAAAAGGGGGTCCCAAGGCTAAAAAGCACGATTTGTTGCCGTTGTTTATGGTTACGAAATGTGGTTCCCCGGTACTACGAAGTATAATTTGCTGCCGTTATTTGTGGTTTTGGAGTTGTGCCTCAGTGCTCCGAAGTGCGACCTAATACCGTTAATTGGGATTTTGTAGTAGTGCCCCAATGCTAAGAAATATATACGATATATGACGATTATTTGCGGTTTGCAAGTTTAGCCCCGGAGAAAAGAAGTACGATTTCTTGCCACAAAATTTGTGATTTCGAAGTGGCGCCTCAATGCTAAGAAATACGACTTGGTTTCCGCTATTCGCGGATTCGCTGTGATGTCCCCGTGCTAGGAAATAGGATTTATTGCTTTTATTGCTTAACATTTCGAAGTGGTGCCCCAGTGCTAAGAAATACGATTTATTACCGAAATTTGTGATTTCGTGATACTACTTCAGTGCTAAGAAATAGGACTTGTTGTCGTTATTTGATATTTCGAAGTGGTGCCCCAGTGCTAAGAAGTGCGATTTATTGCCATTGTTCGTGATTTCGGAATGATATCCCAGTGCTCAGAAATACGTTTTATTACCGTTATTTATGGTTTCGAAGTGGTGCCCCAGTGCTAAGAAATACGAATTATTCTCGCTATTTGTGGTTTCGAAGTGATATCCCAATGCTAAGAAATACGATTTATTATCGTTATCGTTGGACTTTAGAATGTGATTAAATTCAATTCAGGATCGTTTGTCCGTGATCTAGTCATAACCACGGTGCTCATTGCTTGACTACAGATAAATTCTAGATAATCGTGACAGGTTTCGTTCCAATTAACATTCCTCGGAACGAGAAAAAATATTTTATAAATATTAAAAAAATTGCTATATCAATAGATAATTCAATAGGTGAATACAAGTCCCATGAGAAATATCTTTTTATTTTCTTTTATTTCATATAATAATAACTCTCTACTAGCACCTATATTTTAGATATTATCTTCTATTATCTATAAAATATTCAAATTTAATTTGATTACGAAGATTTTCCTTCATCAAGATAAATAGAATCTCCCTACTATAAATCAATATATTTCTTATATTTGAGCTCGCTTTTGAAGAATAGATTTTCGTATCTATCCAATCAGATATTCCGTAGAAATTCTTATAATGCTTTTCTATTATAAATATTCAGAAAATCTTGAATTGAATATTATTCACTGACGTGCTCATCTAATTGCCAGATCTTTATAAGATCATCAATATCTAATATAAATTAATATATCTTTCTATTTCACGAATATATCTTTCTCGAAATTTCGATAAATATCTATTATCATCATCTTAATATATATATATATATATATATATAGAATTTCGAATCGAATGTCATTATCGATCAATAGACGATAAAAAAATATCGCTAATTTTATATCATTTATTTTATTCTTTATGGGAGCTAGCTTTTAATATGATTTCTTCGAGACCTTTATCTCCTCTATAATTCTGAATTAGTCTATATCTTATGATATATCAAATTTCAATCAAATTTCTTCATTCATAGATGCTAGCTTATTAATTGATATATTCGAAGTTTATGATTCCTCTATAGATCTGAATTAAGCTTATGAGATTTATTATCGTCTTAGAACGGTCATATCAATTTATATTTCTAAAATCTTCAAATTTTCCGGAGAAAATAAATTCGTCGGCAGAAATATATATATATATATATATATGATACCGGTTCTCGATTCACCGACCCCCCCCCCCAATAGTATCCCCCCCCCACGTTCCTCAAGTCGAATCTGGGTGTGACTGCGCAAGCTTTTTCCACACGAGGGCTCCCACGCCAAGCAGACCCACGCAGGAAACCCAAATCACGCCATACCACAGGGGGGAGTGGGATAACCAACCTAAGCAGATCCATTCCCGAACCCCACCGCACCATAGGGAGGGGGAAGCAACCCACAACCGCACCGCAGGGGGGGAAGAGTCCCCCCTCACCCAATAGTTCCTCCTCCCCCCTGTGGTGTAGTGAGGTTGTGGGTTAATTTTTCCCCTCGCTGGAAAATAGTGTGGTAGAGTTCGGGAGTGGACCTACGTAGGCTGGTTACCCCACTCCCCCCTGTGGTGCGATGAGGCTTGGGATTCCTACGTGGGTCTGCTTAGCGTATGAGCCCTCGTTTAGAAAAAACTTTGTACAATCTCATATAGATTATTCGGCTTAGGGAACGTGGGGGGGGGTCGGCGGGGGAACTGAAATCCGGGATCATAGATTTATCTTTATAAAACTCTATTCGACAAGTGCATTCCGTAAGAAACCAATAAAGGCTGCGAGTCCCATATCAGCTATCAATTTTTTATTTATCCCTGCAATAAATCTCCAATAATATCGATATAAATGATCAAAATATAGCAAATATAATATTAGAATGTCTTATTCTTCCGTATCGCCGACGCAATCGTTCCCGCAATCCAACTATTCATCCAAAGCCACCATTATCCCAATATCGATAAAACATTAGAACTAATACAGAAGAGCCCGACTCAAATAATATTTAGCATCATAAAAACAAGCTTAGAAGAACTCGTGAATAAAATCTGCTTAGTATTTTAGCCTCTCGAGAGAACTCAGAATTCCCCTTATCTCATCGATTCCATGAGAAATCCGATTTCTTCCATTCCAAGTGTCCATCGTATCGATATAGCCAACATTTAAACATCTATAAAAGCGTTTTTCTCGTTTTTATCCAATAGATGAGACGTACCGATCAAATCGATATTTCGTATATTCATATACCATTTAGATTATTTGATATCAATCTATTTTCAACCTATCCTAGATATTTATATATAGATATACGAAAACCATTAATTTCGAACAAATCCTAATATTTAGGGTACTAGATTAGGGTACCCTATTTTCGGAAAATCGTCATATTGATATTCAAATCGAAAAAACTTTTCTGATGATTTTCAGAAGATATATACAATCCGAGTGCCGATTTCATATCATAATTTATTATCAGAAAATATCCGTGCGACCGATATTTCTACTATCATATTGACATTTTATTTGATCTTATAGAAAAAAGAAAAGAACGCCTTTTTTATATTAATCTATGAAAGAACTACTCGATTCGACATACGACCGAAATAATATCAGTATCAAAAATCGTAATATTCGAGCGTGCTTAGAAATCCATTCCATTTTCTATTGGAGTCTGGGGCACCCATCAAGGGAACTGGTCTCATGCTGATCCGGAACACTGCAAGTGTTGTAAATTACAGCTTTGCTTGGCTTTTGACCGCTAAAAAGAGAGAACTGGTTGCCTTACAAGTACATTAACTCATACCCAGTAAGACTCGAATGCAGATTTGCGGGTAACCTTGATTTGTAAACGTGCTGCACCCCCCCGAACCCTGAACATCTTGAGCTTATGCTAATAGAGCTGCCTACTGCATGGGACGAGTGACGAATACAGGAGCAGTGTATTATCTCTTATGTTACAAGTTTGTCCGACTCTAGGTTACTCCTAAGTGAAGGCCGAAGGCAAGGCTCACCCTCCTGCTGCTGTCGGGCGATGCCCTCCTTCGTGACTGCATTCCAAATCATGCCCAGTTTGGGTTTGGGGTTTAAGACTGGTTTAAGGTTTAGGGTAACTCACACCGGCGGCCAGCGGCCAGAGGTCCGAGATCCCTGGAGCATGAAGCTCAGCTGTTTCCAATGCTCTTTGAGGATTTTGCGCTTCGCAAGAGCAATGTGAAAGAGAGGGTCCCCGCCTCCCGCAGCTTAGCGCGCTCGCCGCGCTCGGGAAGCCTGGTGCGCAAAGGAGCTGTGCGACCCCCATTGCACGGAGCACGAACCCTACCTGACCTGGAGGAGCATCTGCATCACGGTACTGTCGGAGGCCACGTTGACCGGAGGCTCTCTAAGCTTGTTGAGGGCTTTCACATTCACGCCAGCCTGGATCAGGAGTTGGGGGGGCAGTCCAAGGTCGAGAGCAAACGCCGGCCTGGATCAGGAATCGCACGGCGGCCGCCTTGCCAAAGTATGCGGCTTTATGGATAGGCGTGTTGCCCTCGTTGTCCGCCACCTCGAGGTCGGCCCCCGCCTCACTGGGATCTTGTTACGGGACAGCTGGTGGGGTCTGTGTACACTTGTAGAAGCGAAGAGCTGAAAGAATGGTCCCAGGCTGGCGAGCGAGCTGGCCTGCTTCAAAAAGTGCAGCACTGCCGGACGGTCATAGCTGGCGGCAACGTGTGCCGGAGTTTCTCCATATTTGTCCGCCGCCTCGAGGTCGGCCCCAGCCTCGCTATTCCACACAATGAACCACAAAGAACATGAATCAAACAGCAAATCGAGGTCCAGGAAAAGAGCATCACGGATTGGTTGATTCGTTGTTCGAACTGCTTCCGTCTATGTGGGGGGCAAAACTCTTGGTTGACGTGTTCAGAGCGCGATGGGTCACTTTGGTCTGGTCCGCAGCTAGTCCTTGCTCACACAGGATGATGCACTCAGTTCAATTTTTGCTCAAGGGAACTTGGACAGGGGCCTTCCAGACCGGCGGCACTTTGAGGCTTTGTTTGAGATTTGCTACAACATGCTACAACTATATACGTATGACCCCATGAAACACCTTACTCGCAAATGTACGTAGTCCTCTGCCTCACCTGACGCCATCACAAATGAACAGTGACGAATATCCCTCCCCCGCAGAGCTGCAGAACAACCCCTGCTTTCCGGCCTTGCTGAGTGCCCTCATTGCTTCCACGTGGTCGTAACGCGCTGCCAAATGAGCCGGAGTCCAACCAACGAACCAGTCTGTGCCTTTGCCACCACGCCACGCCTTCGCCTCGAAGTTGACGCCCACCTCACAGGCAAAGGCCCGAGTGATTCCCGTCCCTGCTGAGAGCTTAAGCAAAGAAGGGTGCCAAGGAGCCTCGGCGAGGAAGCGCAATGCCGCTGCATGGCCGAACCACGCGGCATAGTGCGCCACGGTCATCCCCTGACTGTTCAAAGGGGCCCCCAAGTCCACACCGGCCTGGGCACAGGGCTGCAAAAAGGAATTCAACTGACCCCCGTGGAAGTGTAGTTCGATCTACCTATACTCCATCCTTCCTCTAGTTGCCAAGGCCCGGCGTGCTTTTGCATAACTCTGGATTTAATTTTTGGAGTATTCGCGGTGCCAGCTGCATTCTGTAATATTCTGGACCGGGCCGGGTGTTAGTTGGATACCCCCATCCTCATCCTCGTCTTCATCCGCATCCTCTCACCCACCCCTGCCCTGCCCCTATCCTATCCCTCCCACCCCTCCTCTCCTCCCCCCTCCCCTCGACAACACGGTTACAGAACTTTCCACGTTTGCTGGCCCATGTTGCCCCCACCTTGGCCCTAACCTCCCCCTGAATTCGGCCCAGGCAGGCTCCGCGTGTCTATTGCTCCCCCATCCTGCAACCTCATGTCACGCAAACTCTCAATTCCCTCGCTCGACCTTCTTACTTCTGCAATCTACTACTACTTCTGCTACTGCTCCTGCCGCTGCTGCTAATACTTCTGTGACTACTCATGTCTGTTAGTGCCCTTTTCCTCAGCATCCTCAGCCCCACTTCACCCTCTTTCCTCGCTTTGTCCCTCCCCCTGCTGTCACTATTAATGTTCGCATTAGCTCTATTGCCGTGCCACTACTAGCACTAGCACTAGCACTAGGCACCAGGCACTAGCACTAGCACTGCCACTACTCCTACTACTACTACTACTGCTACTACTACTCCTGCTACTACTACTACTACTACTACTACGACTACTACTACTACTACTACTACTACTACTACTACTACTACTACTACTACTACTACTACTACTACTACTACTACTGTTGCATTACGGCACTACTACACTACTACACTGCTACACAACGACGACGACTACTACTACTTCTACGGCTACTACTATTACTACTGCTGCTGCTGCTGCTGCTGCTACTGCTACTACGACGACGACTACGACTACCACCACTACCAGTGCCACCACCCCCACTACTACCACTACCACGTCTACAACAACAGCTACTACTCCATCTACTCCATTCTTCGTATTATCTCCTGTCTTTAGCTGCCCCAAACTACTAGTCCATCTACTCCATTCCTCGCTTTATCTCCTGTCTTTATCTGCCTATCTTTTTCTCTGTCTGTATTTCACCAACCTACCTACCTGCCTGCCTGACTGCCTACCTACCAACCTATGTGCCTATACCTGGGTGTCTATCTCTGTCTGTCTATCTATCCGTCCATCGACTCAATGTTCGAATCTACCATGTTTATCATGATCGACATATTTTGCTGTTCGGCGATGTCCGACTGTCGTCTTTCCGCACGTCGCTGGGTTCGCAGATTTTTCGGAAGAAATCACCTCGAAAGTCGGGCGGGGGGCCTCCTTGTGTGCCTTGAGAGCCGCCACGTTGCCCTCTTTGGCTGCCTCCTTCACGGAGATCGCTGTAGGCTGCAAGTTCCCCTCCGCCTCCTCTGACATCAGCGGCTTTCATGCCAAAGAGGTTGGGTAGTTGAGGACAGGATCCTAGCTTCAACTCTGGTCTTCAGGGGTTCGGCTCTGGGATTCCTGCACGAAACAGAGGAAAGTCGGTGTAGGACCCCCTCTTTAAGGTCTTAGGGGTTTTGGGTTTTATGTCGTGTTGACGGTTAGAGCCCTACACCCTAAAGCACACCCTGCAAGGGCCGCCTGCTCCCTAGCCGCAGCCGCCAAGTTCCGCTGCGTGTAGGCCTGGTGCAGGGACGGGTTGAGTTCGCTTAGGCTCTCAGGCTTCAACTAAACGCTCGACATGTCTGTGGATTTAGTTTTGCCGCCAGCCCTGCTTTAAACCTTGATAAGGTTTATTGGGTACTGGGCTTAGGGTTTGGTGCTACGAAAAGGTTCAGGCTGCAGGGGTTTGCTGAGGGATTGTTGTGCATGCTTGGAGGATCTCAGGGCACGGAGAAGCCCATCCGTCAGCAGCCGGCTCTGTTCTTCCGAAGTCGCGGCTTCTCAAGCACCTTCCCGGACATCCTGAACTCCAAGTTGCACTCCGTCGCCGAATGAGAAAGCCCTGACGATGTAGCATAACTCTGACTCGAATCTGGGGTGCTGACCAACCGCAAACAATTTGGTGGAAAACTATTGCAAGTCCCAAATCCTGATCTGCAGCCACGTCAGCCCGAAAGACTGTTCCCCGGTGTCAAGCTTGTGAGGCCAAGACCTCCGAGAATCCAGCCCGTTTGCCATCCACAATGGCAAGTACGGCCAGAAGCGTCAACCGGGCCACCTTACCAGACTTAGACGATGTCTAGCCAGCGGGCTTGGGGCAAGAGTTCGGCGTTGCAATGCGTGGTGCTTGAGGGCAGAGGAGGGTCTGGGAGTCTGCATGGGGCTGATATTGGCTTCAAGCCCAAGACGAGGGTTCGACAGTCTTGTCGGTTTGAGCTGCTTAATCCCGCGAGGGAGGCATCGACATTTGCTTTTCCCGGCTCTGCAGAATAAGTCTTAGTAGTTCTACCTCATGTGGACCGACAGCAGCATACCTCAAATGTATCCAAACGAAGATTCGACCAAAAACAAAGGGTCTCAGAAGGTGCAGTATGGATACGCCGCAATCTTAGGTCGCGGCGACCATTGTGCATGGAGAGTGTGAAGTTGGCGGACAACTTTGCACTAGTGCGTTGTGCTTGCTCCCAAAACGCCGCGGGGAAGCAACAGATCACGCTTGAGGGCTCCTCGGCGCCATCGACCCCTCCAACTAAAGACTCCAGGCCCGCAAAGATCGCCAGCAGAAAGAGCTTCAAACTTTGAACCAGCACAACGACCGGAGGCAACTAGAACCGAAACATAAACCCCAGGCGTTGCATCCCAGAATCGGAAATTGAGTCGCCAGACCCGCAACGCGACCTTACTCGCAAGCCCTGTGCCCTCAAACTTGAGCCGTGAAACCCAAGCCCTACTCCCGCTTGTACAGCCCGAACCCAACAATCGCAAACCGTGGCAGAACTTCTGAAAGGAAACCTGGCTGGCAGCATTGTCGCACCACGTGTCCTTTTGAATCCAATAGGGCCAGCGGATCACTGAGATCTTGAAGTTCAGAAAGATTTCGCATCTCAGGGCTACATGAAGGCTCTACAAGGGTTTCGGACCGGACGGCTCCGGGATTTTTTCGGGAACACTCCCTGAGTGGTTTATGTGAAGATGGTGTTTTTCGGTGTTGTTAAGGGTTAAGGGGTTTTGAGTTTGGATATGAATGCTTTCAAGGATTTAGGGCGGAGAGATTGGCGTGCAGTTGCTGTAGGATCTCAATTCGGGGCTACTTTGCACAAATCTATATGGGCAGTGGGGAAATGCGTGTCTAATCCAACTACCCTTTCGATAAATGTTCTCCTCAAGCACAACAATGCGCACTGCTACGGTTTAAGAATCAGACTGTTGCTGCATGCTGCATAAAAGCCTTGATGCAGTCTGATTAGTCTGCTTCTGCAAGTGCCTTTTCGAAGCCTTCCATGCCCCTGCGCCTCCTAAGCAAAGGCACCCGAAACCTCCCTAAACCATGACTGGAAAGTGCAAAAAGCGGAAGCCCTTGACATGCGTCCTTTCAAGCCCTGTTTAACTGCAGCAGGACATACCGTCTGGTGTTAGTCGTACGCCCCAAAGGCTATCCTTACGAACAGCCTGGGTCTGGGGCCGTCATCAAAACTGGCCTGCACCCTCGAGTTCAGAAGACCCCGACACCCGTGACCTACGTTTTCGGTGCCTGGCGGCCGAAGCCACGACTGTCCCATGGCCAGTCCGATGAACATCCCTACCCGAAGGTTTTTCGATTTGGCCATGCGTGTAAACTCTCAAGCCTTGCTCTACGATCAAGCGGGGAAGAACCCGGGTACTCACGTAGGTGCAGCAATAACAATGTAATCACAAGTCCGACATGTGTATGCCATGCATACACTGCTGGTTGGGCACGTGCTTGGACGAATAATCACCAATGCTAAGTCTGTGCCTCTGTCCTTATACATGATGCTTCAAGCCACAAACCGAAGTAATTGGCTGAGGCTTCGTTTGCAGGGGGCAGAAACTCTTCGCGAAATGTATCACGCATAGGCTAGTGCCATCGGAAATTACGTCATCTGGATGAGCACCTGAACGAGCATTCCACCATGGCCATCTGGTTGGTGGAAAGGACCATGCCGGTGCTAAACTATGACAACGAAGCACGGAGCGCTGTTCCATCTTTTTGCCAAAGATCTCGCTCTCGCGTTGTTGGGCCAGTTCCAGAAGAATCCAGGAGCTGGCATCAGATGCAACCATCAAGGATTACAACAAGTTTAAAAGTTCGGGGTCGGGATAATACGAACTTGTACACGGCCTGGCCAAAACTTGCCATTGGGGTGTCCTTCTGGCAGGAGTAGCGGGATAAAATGCCGGGATGGGTCGAACCTAAGAACACTTGTATCGTTGGTACTACCATGACCGTGGTAACAACCGCAATGCTAATGGCACCGGTATTGATCCTGGCCACAGCGGGATGGTGCTGGGTTGTGCAAACTCCAGAACATGCCCGTATGCTCAACATGGCCATCGGCTTCAATACCAAGTCTGATGCCCGGCGCAGATTTGCGTATATAACTAGAGCACATGTTCCCAGCTGATTTTCGCGTAGTCGCCTATCTTAAGATCATCTCCATATCATTTTTCCTCCAAAGTTGTGTCTTGAAAACATGTTACCTTCAACCGACACGGAAGCAAGGACGAAACTGACGAGCCAAGCCTCACAAAACCCGACAGCACGTGAGTGAACCAAGTCACCACATTATCGAGCACGAGCCACCGAGCCAACAGATGAACCCACCATCAGTTCTTCGCACACGGTCGTTTCAGGTAAAACGTTTGTGTCCTTTTGGCTTTAAGAACAGCAGCTGCTATGAACTTTACACTCTGGCTCTGAGAGCTAGCCGTGACAGGTTGACAAAGTGAAACCCACAATTTGCACAGCGCCTAAAAATCTTCCGGTATGGTCTCAGTGAAACATGACATGAGATCAAATTACGCCACTCCAAAACGCAAACAGTAGCAGTCGAGGCAATCGCAGCACTCTAGACTCTAGTCGTGGGGTGTCCCTCTGAGGGCCTTGGCGGCGGTGTCGGCCATGGGGTTGTCGTCCGACCTTAGGACTGGGATTTCCGATGTTACACAGTACGAAAACTACGCTAACTTGAACAGATGCTGTGTGCGCGAGCACCGCAGCATTGAACTGCAACCTGAAAACCGGCTGTAGTTCACAGACACCGGAAACTTCGCACAGCGCCGAACCTCGTAACCCCAAAACTTCGGAAACCCGACACCCTGAAGCCCTGCAGCCTCAACCTGACACGGAAAATCAAAAACAAAAATCCAAAGCCTCGAAGCCTACACCTTAAACCCTGGGACCTGAAGCCCATTGAACCCAGGCCTAATCCTGCGCGACCTACACCTCAACTGGCCAAGGCAAGGACAGAGTGGCATCTGGAGCACTGTTCCAGTTGCCCTGCTTTTCGATCAATTCAGCGGAAGCTCAAGAAAGTGATAGAAGTCTAAGTTGACAACGGATCACACCACTGACTTCACAAGACCGGCTCAGCCTCCACAGTGTCAGATCAATGAGATACCAGATTGCAGCAGCATTAATCCCCATGCTGACGCGTTCAATTCTTTTGCGGGCTTGCGTGGACCCAACACTTTGCGCGGCTGGTGCCTTCTCGGCCGGGCCGAAGATGAACTCATCTCCAAGCTTGCCTTTGCTCCGAGGGCGGCTAACAACTCTCTATGCCTGGCCCGTTTCATTGTCTCTCGCATGTCATCGGCCACCCACGGAGGGATACCAGACGAGAGTGCTAGAACACTCGGGCCCAGACCTATGGTGCTTCGTTTTCGAAGCTGTTTCGTCGCCCTGCACCAGGAATGAACCCTAAACCCTAAACCGGTACACTCTGTTCACCGTGTTGTTATGGCCGGAACTCGGGGCCCGACGAGGCCTGACCAGGCTTTGTTGGGGTGGTTGCAGCCCCGGCGGAGGGCGCCCCTAACAAAGCTTGAAACACACTGAAACATAATACCGTAGCACGATACACGCTCATCTACTACGACATACCCTAATGTACCACAATACGCCATAACATGGGATAACATATGTTACTATGCTATCTAAAATGGTCGTTTCAAAGTGCCGCAGGAGCCTCCATCAAATTTCTTTCGCTGCTTCAAAGTCTTCCTGACAGAGATGACAGCGGGAGGCGTTTACGGGTTAGGATTTAGCGACCCGGCCTGAGTCGAAGCCGAGGTGGATGCTTCATTAGAGGCGGATGCCTGATGAACCGAAGGCACAGAGGCAATGAGGTACTGACCGCCTCATAGCGAAGACTGATCGCAAAAGTCGCACCTCTCCCCCTGGCCTTGTCTTCCTTCTTCTCTTCCTTCACCTCGACCTGCCAAAGGCTAATGTGGACCCGGCCACTTCTGGTATGTCTTCGACTTCTGCCCCGCTGGGAAAAGCCAAATCCTCGGCCTTCCCTTCGTTCTGTGTCTCGAACATTTCCAATGACTGAAGCTGCGAGCCCGTGTCCGCGAAGACTCAAGACCTCCGCCCTCCACTCCCGACTGAACCTTCTGAGGTCCCATCCATCATGTCTGAGAAGCCAGGCCTTCTTTTCTCAAAACAGAAACTCCTTGACCTCAACAAAAGGTGAATGTCAGGCAAGTCTCAAGCGACCACGGCTGCAAGAGATCAACTCATAATTATCTGGGGTTTCGGCGATGTGGTTTTCTTGAGCCGGGCATTGTTGCTACATCCGTTCTTTCGTACGGGGCATTCGGTCGCCGCACATCCGAGACTTAGGAGATGCGTGAATGCCAATGTTAGCATCAGTCGGCAGCTGTTCATGGACGTGTGTCTACCTGGGCCGAACGCACTGCATAGATTTTTAAACCTAAGAATCCAGAACGACTTTACGGAGGATAACTGAAATTTTCGAACCTACGGCCAAAATCGAAACAGCCCCAAACCCCACCTCTCAGATCTCTCGGATACTAAGTGAAGTTCCCGCGACACATCCGGTGAGCTGAAGAAGTCTTTTTGGCCGGAATATGTGCTCGGAATTGTTTCTTTAATTGCGTCTGCTAGTGGTCAAGCTAGGACTAGGAAGTTCTTTGAAAGGCCTCAGGTTGGGACTGGGGAGGATTTTGATGCTTTCGTGGGGTATCCAACGAGCACCCCCCCGAAACAATGGGGGTCCCAATTTCGAAGGCGCGAATTATTGAAGATCGCTTACGCACACAACAATAAAAACTCGAACCTGCCGCGTCCCTAGACCCCTTAACCTCATCATCAAACTGAACCTTGCGTAAACCAGAGCAACAATAGCAAAGACAACGCTACCAGGATCGACAACCGAATTGCTGAGTAGTTTAACTCAATCGTGCTGAAGTTGTCTACGCCAAAAGACTTCATTATGAACCCACTCTACAAAGGCAACAAACCACAAACAACATAACATTAAAACCGCCAAGCCCTTTTGAACCCAGACTCTGCTAACAGCAGCAGTGGGGCGAGTTCAAAACATGGTTGGCCTCAGAAGCTTCCCCAAACCCTCAAACTCA